TATATATATATATATATATATATATATATATATATATATGTATATGTATTTGTACCTAACAATAAGGTACTATGAAACGTCTTTTACATATTTTGCTATTTTATAATATTGCTTTTATCGCGTTAAAATATAATTGGTATGTTTCATCCAATTATTTCGAAAAACGAAAATTCTTTTATCATTGAGCAGCATATAACGTAACATGATTTTACTGTCGTTACAGTAAAATAACGTGGAGTTTTATTATCTTTGCACACATAAATTTTCTTCGAGTGCACTGGCGTGCGTATCACACATTGTGATACTGTAAGACGCGGACTCGTTGCTAAAAAAACAAAAAGACTAAGGATTAGGATCTCCTAACTTAGTTTTAATAATCATTTTAATGAACGTCTTGAGTTGTGAATCAATTTGATTGAACACACAGGTCATACAGATTAAGGATTATCTGTACTAACCGAAAGAATAGCGATATTTCCAATCTCGCGACAAGCTCGATGTCGATGTATCAATATTGATTAAGGAAAACTACAGGTGGCTGTTCGAAAAAGATTAACAACGCGACAATGTATTTTATTTACGAATTGCGAAGCGAGAGAAAAAGAAAGAAAGACAAAGGGAATATTAACACACAATGTACGATAAACGATGCGAGAGAAACGTCTGAGCGATGTACTACGATGTTCACACGACGCGAATTACGTTGAACGAGAGTTATTCCCGCGGCAGATGATTATCGAGAGTATCTCTGTCGTTTTTAAGGCGAATAACGAAAGAACGTCACATACACAAGAGAACGAATGAGATAATAAAAATGTATAATTATTATAAAATTTAATTCAGTAAGATAATCGAGAAATATACGATAATGCGCAATGAAATTCCTGTGATGGTCCTATTTTCGTCTTTTCCTTTATCAAATTTCCATTCACTTAGTTTTATTAAACTTTATAAATTACAGGTGTTCGTTTTCTTTCATCAGTAATGGCTCAAGGATTTTGAGAAAGAAAGATTTACATGCTGGTCAAACGATTTAATTTAATTGCTTATTTACAATTGTTCATTGTAAAATTTTATTTATATCAGAATGAGATTGACATTTCAAATTAAATATACTGCTGTTATTGGTACTGGCAGTTGAAAGTTTTCTGTGTACAGAAGGGATCCTTTTCAACGAATACGTAGAATTGTCCCTTTATGGGACAACTGGCATCCAATATATTATTGTGGTTTATGGCAATACAATCCGTTGTGTTAGAACTAGGATAAGGAGGTGAGCTGAAAAAAAAAATCAAGTATAATGAATAGTACAACAATCACAAAATAACTGAAAGAATCTGTACATAAATAATGCCAAGTAACATCGTATTTATACCTTTGGAATGGTAATCGCTTTTTCCTGAAAATAAAAGAAAAAGGAATTAAAGAATTATTATAAATATGTGTAATAAATTGAGACTTTTCAGGAAAAACTCATAAAGGTTGAATTGAGCAAAGCTGAAGCATATGCAGAAGGAAGGAACTTACTTCATAGGAACACCAGGGAATGTGCAATTATCTTTCAACAAATTGGTTAAATAACTGATAGATCGGCTGTGTGAGCAACTGACGTCCACGCCTGAAACGCGAATTTGTTTCATTTACAAATTATCGTTTCTTTCCTGTCATTCTAGCAACATTCAACGTCTCTCCGTACGCAATAATCAGTTGCAATTGATTTCTCACCACATCCTGGTTGTATAAGTCCTTCACCGAACTGTAAGTTCAGGAAACCTATAGGTTTCGATATCCCGAGAGGCGACGTGTGAAGAACTATTACACACTTGGCATCCGACTCACACAACCTATCCTCACATTTGTTCCTACCGAACAATGGCTTTGCGGGATCGGCGGCAATGATCTGCTTTATCTTGCCCAGGCCCTTTTTGTCTACCTCTTTTCCGGCAAAGCCGCTTATGTGCGCGCCAAGACTGTGGCCGATGAGTATGATGTTTTCTAACGGAACACCACAGTCCTTGACCATGCACTCTATATAGCTGCAAGAGAAAATTCGGTAAATATTGAATATAACTCCCCTCTCTCCGATTGCTTTAAAATTTGCAAATTTTGTATATTTTGGGTGGTAAAAGAAATTCTGAGAAGGAAAACTGTCGCTTTATTTTAATTATAATTAATCCTTAAAATATTACGGTAAGTAAGGAAATGACAACTGAAACGATAATTTATATATATATATATATATATATATATTTCGCTTCTTACTTAGTTCAATTAGATCATATTATGTTATCTACAACTTTATTTAATTATATATTTAAAAATATATTATATAAAAAAAATAATCTTTGTTAAAGCAGAGAATAGTAGAAAACATAAATACAGAGTATTCTCTGCTTTATTTAATTATAAACAAACGGAGCATAAGCGACGATTTTCCTTCTAAGAATCTTTTTTACGACCCAAAATACATAAAATTTGAAATTTTTAAAGGAATTGGGGGGGGGGAGGCCGTCATATTCAATATTTACCGAAAATTCAATCGAATATATGAATCCGTGGACATCACATTTTCAATACGCGTAAAATCTAATTTTTCGAATACTACATTTATTTAACATTATATATTAGCTATATTATGTATGTTAATCATAAATATTGTTTTATTTAATATTTCATATCAATCTTTTTTTTAGTAATCATACCTTGCTATGAGTTGACCCATCTCATGAGTGTTCTTTACTGCCGCGGGATATCCCGCGAACTTGATAATAGGTATCCCATCAGTACAGGCTCCTTGAGACCAATCCATCGCAAATACCGTGTAGCCTTTCTGTAAAAATAGTAAATTATTTTATTAAATTTTTGACAACGTCAAGAATTCATCAATTTTATCGCAGGAAGCTACTTTTATCAATTCTTGTCTACTCTTCACTACGTTTTACGATACTTTTCTATTGAAATAAGAATTTTGTCTTTTTTAGGAACGTTATATTTTTTATTCCAAGTACTCATGCAAATATATAGTATATCTACCTGTTCCAATTGTGAGGACAGCTCTCGGAAACTAGTCGTGTTTCCAGAACTGAGAAAGCCATGGGTTACAAAGGCGACCTGTTGCGATGAGTCGATATTATCGCAGATCTCCTTTGTGCTAATATTTTTGCCTTCGAATTTACTGAAAGAATGATAGATATAATCGGCGCCAACGAACGAGTTGACAATGGACATTCGCGCCTTTTTTACCTGTTGTACAGAAACACCGATACCGATTTAACGCCGAGGATACAGGAATCTGGGTTTAAAACTTTGCCTATACCCTCCACGATCATTCCCGGTTTAGACTCGGCACGTAAATACGCGCATTGTACAAGAAAAATTGCAAGTATCGTAAAAACCGCCCTCATCGTGCACAAAATCGGATATTATAGCGAATCGACGAAGGGAAGCTGATAGACGCAGGATGAGGGATCTCGCAATTATTGGCAAACTTTTATACGTATACACGTACGTTTTACACCTTTATACGCAAATAAGTACTGACATTTGCAACATTGCTGGCGGCTGTGCAAACTGTTCAGCGAGCGCGGAAAATTTGCGGAAGTATATTTTACGGTATCAATATTGTTGCGGCGAACGATCAACAATGTAAACTGCCACTGCGTATATCTTCCTTTTGCAGCTCACTTTTATTTCCGACATTTATGCGACATTATGCGGCAATAAAAGTGACAAAGTGTCGCACGAAACATTTATTTCGACTTGATCTGCCCTTGATGTTATTATTTAACGACATATTAACGGCGCGATATACGTCACGCGCATCTTCGCACCGCACGTCGATCGAATTAAATTGAAGTTTTATCGAACAGGACAATTTTTATTGGCAAACGCTTCGACGATCGTATACTTGAACGAAATACACGAATGCCCTGATAAATGCCGAAATCGAGACGACAAAACCTTGCAAAATTTCACACAAAGCGCATCGCGAGACGGTGTCTTCATATTTTGCATTTCGCATTCACGTAAGTTCGCGAGGATGATAGGGGAAATTTACACATTTTAAATTCACGGAATCACATCGCTGAAATTTTAGCAAGTGCATAAGAGGGGTTTGCTTATATATGATATATATTGGCTGCATTCGGAGAGCGTGCTATTAGCGCTATTGTATCATTCTATCTTTATCGCTCATTAAATGTAAAACAAGGATAGAATAAGCAAATAGCGCTAATAGCGCGCTCCCCGAATGCAGCTATTGCGAGGGATCCCCAGATAACAAAACGCCTGTCATATTTACGAAATAATGTGCGTAAACTCGTGCATGAGACTTTACGCAAATAACATATGCGTAAAGTTGCGTCTGCTAATGCTCAACAACAATATCTTATTATCTTAAAAAAAGGAGCTTGTCGAACATAAGAAATGAATTAAAGATTCACGGAGAATTTTGGATGTCAATAATATATATATATAGACAATGCCAGAGCCAATTCAATTTTATCAATTACAGATCCTAATATACTTACAATTAAACAATAAAAACATAAAAATTACTCCTTAAAGTTATTTACGGACTATTTAAATAATTCTTATAATATTACTTATTAAATTATTATAATATTATAATAATAAAAATAACTGAAAAATTATTCAATTAATCGTAGTGGTGGCTGGAATAAAATTAGGATTGGTTCACGCGCGCGAAAATTTAAATTATGCATGCCCTGAAGTTTGTTCGGGCATAACAATACAACATCTATTATTTAAAATTGAGCGCTGTCATCTGTCTTATTAATCATCAATTTATGATTGATTTCACACTTCATAAATATTTAAATATCCTAATAATTTTAATAATAAATACAACACACGGAAAGATTATTCAACTAATTAATTAAAAGTCAGGATTAATTCACGCGCGCAAGAATTTAAATCTCGCACTATATACGCCGTGAAAATGCTCCGACATAACAATATAACAATTATAATAATTACTAGATACTTAAAGTATATTTATCTCTAAGACATATTTTAAAATTAAACGCGGCCGCTTATCATTCAATTTATTAATTACCTCTACTAGAATATGGACCTACCTTCGATTGATTTCGGACACCACAGATTGAAGGACAGCTATCGAGATGTATCGAATCGAATCGAATTGCGCGGGGCGATACGATCGAGGGACCAAATTTGGTTATGTCGGCGTCGTCGGCGAACTGCGAAGTCCTTGTTGAGATTGCATCTCCGCACGAATTTTCGGTGTTGTCATTGAACGGTTTGACGGTGCAAAATTAAATCGTTCAACCGCTGCTCGTTTCTTGACGCAGTTTAAAATATCGGATAATCATGGTGGAAGAAATTCAAAAGAAGCTACAGAATGAGGCCGACACGCTAAGGCAGATCCAAAAAGGTTAGAAAAAATCTTCACGAGTATTCTTCTGGAAAGCAATGTAAACTTCTCTCTCTCTCTCTCTTTCATTATTTAGCTTATTATTTTTAATATGTCTGTTACATTTGCAGAATACAACAAGGCGCTGAGCCAAAGGCAGCAACTGGATGGTCAGCTGAACGAGAATATCATGGTGAAGAAAGAGCTGGACATACTGAAGGAGGATAACGACGTGTTTAAGCTGATAGGACCCGTGCTCGTGAAGCAAGAGTTGTGCGAGGCCAAGCAGAACGTCGACAAACGTATGGATTACATCAAGGCCGAGCTGTAGGTTTTGCCGATTGGAAATCATACCCATTGAGTCTGCTTTTGGATTTACGTGTGACGAAACGAATTTCAGGAAACGCGTGGATGACCTGATGTCTACCCTGGACAAGAAGCTGGACTCTCAGAGGGACGTGATAGATAAATTACAGCAAGCGTTTCAACAGGCTCAAATTAAAACGTCGATAAACCAACCGAAATCGTAATATTGTACAGACCGCGACTTTGTGAAACTATCAGTTGTTTAATTAATAATTCTAATTAATAACGATAAGCACTTAAGTGACATTGTTACGTATAGTTTCATCATTTGGTACATGAATATGTCGTTTGTTTCATTTATACCATAGACGATTATTAATAAGAATCTTGGCTATGTGTCACGACGATCGTCCAAGTGCAATTTATGTAAATTAAAAGCTGTATAAACTTTCCAGAATATTCCCCCTTTCGGAATTGGTCCTTACATCAATTAAAAAGCCGACTGATTACTTTCTAACGATTAAGTTTACAAGTCTTTTAAACCAGAGATTAATTGCGTTATCTTTTACGATGGAGCTTTTAAAACTGTGATTAATTGTGACCAGCTGCGACTAGATTTAAAACAATCTTGAATATAAAATTAAATTACGAATATCGCCCTAATTCTAAGAAATAGGAAAACATAAAAAGTAAGTTAAACAGAGATTAAGTTAATCTGCATTGTGGAAATGGACATTAGAACTAGAAAAAGATAAATTACATTAAAAATCTGCATTTAAAATGGACGTAAGAGTGATCATTGTTTTGAATTTATGTATGTAGATGTATGTATGCACATACATACATACGCGTGAACATTGAAATGGCCCGCCGCACGTGAATGGCGTCTAGGGTCAACAACTGTTCGTTTTAGCTGTACTTGCACGGTTCATCTTTTGTTCTTTTTCTTTTCACGTTGGAGAGAAAAAGAGAAAAGATGAACTGTGCGAAAAGTTCAGCTAAAACAAACAGGCCTACTGTCAACAGTCAACATGGCGACGACGTAGTGCCGCCCGTCTTGAAACTAATTCCAGCATCGTCGGATAGCTATTAATTTTCACACGATATTCGTTTTGCTTTGAGTAAGAATTTTAACTGGCGAGCGAGAACGAAAATGCTGTTGACGTTGAAGCCGGATCATAAGAAGCACGTATTGTTTCTAGCCGAACAATCATCGCCAGGTACATACGAGCGAGTCGTCTATGTCGACGAATGAATTTTATGTTTTGCAGAGAAACGTCAAGTATAAAACGCATTTTCTCCTCGTAGTTTTGCAGGATTTCTGCAAACTGGCTCTGGATTATTTGCAGAAGGGCCCGAACGTCAAGGTGTACAACGCTGCCGCTCGTAAGTAGCTAATTTTGCAGAAACTAACATAATGACAGTTACGACGATTGTTTACGGTACAAGCTGCTTCGTGCTCGTTTCAGAGAAGTTGAATGTCGAGTTGGACGTTATTAAAAAGTCAGTAGAGGGTCTGGTCAATCTCCTGTTGGAGAGCTGCAAGCACAAGGTAACCTATTGACCGGTCTGTGTAACAAGAGCGTTGTTTGATGTACTCGAGTTTTGCAGCTGAGCGCGGAGGATTTCCGGGATTCCGTGGTCGCTTTAGGCTTCACCGAGGACAAGGAGGCAATACTGAGTAAATTGTATAACGTTAAGAAGAACGAAGTCTCGGACGCACTCGAAGAGATTGGATTTAAACTACCCAGATACCACGACATGGAATGGAGATTCGAAGTACAGGTAGCAGAGTCCCCGTATCTCTCGTTTTGCCCCTCCGTTTCAATTTATAATTGAATTATATCATTTCTGCGTCACAGACTGCGTCAAGATCCCTGTTGAAACAAGTTGCGCCACTCGTCACTCTAGATTTGTCACTGAAGAATCCTGATAATCCAGAGGAAATTGAACACGTTCTGCTGCAAACCGATCCGACTAATTTGCTTCATATGACTCAACAACTGGAGGAGGCTCTGCAAGAGAGTCGTAGCCAACATATTCGCAGAATTTCAAGAGCAGTAAAATGAGGCTTTTTGTAATTTGCATAATCATACTTGGGGCAATTTATTAATGTAATGTGTAATATATAAATATATAAAAATAGATATAAAAGTATAATGTCTAGAAATAAATAAAAAGATTTTTATTTGTAGAAACTACATAAGTTTAGCTTTGTTATCTAAATCACATTTAAATTCTGCACCTGTAAAGTTTCACTCTAGTCAGATCATCTCAAATAATAAGCGACAGTAATCACACATTACATACGTATATATTCTACCAACTAAGATAGTTGGATACATATTTGCATATGTAATTGGATGATTTTATTGGATCTGTGTCAAGTATATAAGAGAAAACTTCTCTTCTCACACTTGTGCTGTGAATACGACACAGTTACCATTATAGTTACTATTCTTTATCAAAGACTTGATGTTTTACAAACTGGACCTTGAATTCGTTGCCTCGAGAGCAGGAACGGTTGTACCTTGAACATTCCAGTGTCAAGAAGTATGTATGTACATCTGTGACTTTTATGCATCGTACTTTTAAGTGGTTGCTAACTTCCCTACCAATTCCCTATCAATAGTTTGCAGAAAATGGAATCCCTTGTTGCAATAAGTGCCGAAAATCTGACCTCGACCATTTTATCTGGAACCTCCACTACGGCGTTTACTGATATACTAACAACGACGAACGGACCCCGGGCTATGCGGCAACTCATGGGTTTCAACAATATAACTTTAGTGGATAAAGTGCCTCCGGATATGATGCACTTAATCGATTCACATTGGTCACTTTTGATTTCTTTACATCGATTAATATATTCCTATATCATTTGCTTTTGCAAAGTCAATCTCACTGAGCACTGAAATTACAGGTATCAGTATCCACCCATGGATCCCATGTGGCACAAAATTCTAGGCCTTGTAATGATTGTATTAGGATTTATGGGATGGACCGGTAATGGTGTTGTAGTATATATATTCTTGATGACACCCTCCCTAAGAACGCCGAGCAATCTTCTAGTGGTAAATTTGGCTTTTTCGGACTTTATCATGATGATCATCATGTCGCCTCCTATGGTAATCAACTGCTACTACGAGACCTGGGTATTAGGTAAATGCAAATTTCGTCCTCTTTCATCATATTAATATTGTTTTTATAAAGTGTATAAAGTACGTGTAGTAAATAACGTGTAAATTAATTTTACATTAAGGACCATTAATGTGCGACATATATGCCATGGTTGGCTCTTTATGTGGATGCGCTTCAATATGGACTATGACTGCTATTGCTTTCGACCGATACAATGTTATAGTGAAGGTATGGTGAAGGTGTAATATGCTTCTATGTTAATACATCAAGTGGAAACAGTAACCAACGTGAATAAATCTCTTCAGGGTATGGCGGGAAAACCACTCACCATCAAGAAAGCGCTACTCGAAATTTTAATAATCTGGCTCTTTGCTTCAGTATGGACGATTTTACCTATGGTAGGATGGAACAGGTATAACATCGAAATAACTAACAAATTATATTTATAAAAGAAAGATTTGTTATACTTTGTAACGCATAATATTGTAATATGTTTTATAATGTGACGATTAGATATGTGCCAGAAGGCAATATGACCTCTTGTGGTACAGATTTTCTCGCCAAGGATTGGAGTTCTAAATCATACATCTTAGTGTATTCGATGTTTGTATATTATACGCCACTTCTTACTATAATTTATAGCTATTACTTTATCGTTTCGGTAAGTACATTTGTACGTTACAGCATTAAAAAAAATTTGGTGTTTGTAAATGCGTTTTATAAACTAACAGACAGTAGCTGCTCATGAAAAAGCAATGAGGGAACAAGCGAAGAAAATGAATGTTCAATCTTTGCGATCTGGAGATAACCAAAACATAAGTGCAGAAGCAAAACTGGCAAAAGTATGGGGAAAGAGAAATATATCAAAATTATTATAAATATATTAAGTGTTGAAAAAATTATTTGAAAAAATCGAGATTGACATCTGCTTGATTGATTACAGGTAGCTCTAATGACCATTTCCTTGTGGTTCATGGCATGGACACCATATCTGGTTATTAATTATACCGGTATTTTTGGTGGTGCTCTTAGTCCTCTTTCCACCATTTGGGGATCCCTCTTTGCAAAGGCAAACGCTATATATAATCCAATTGTTTATGGAATTAGGTAAATAAAATTTTTAAATAGCTGATATATATAATCATTAACGTTCCTGTATTGCATTAATGTTCTTGTATTTTATTTTGCGTAGCCATCCAAAGTACAGAGCAGCGTTAAAGGAAAAGTTACCGTTCTTTGTGTGTGGCTCGACCGAGGATCCATCCGCGGCTGCGAAAACTGCAGAAACATTATCTACGACTACGACCACAACGTAATTCCGAGCAATGTAATAATTTTTAAATATTGTGATATAATATAATTAGAGTATAGTTCTTGAGGAAATTGACGAATCAGTAATACTGGATATATTATGTGATAAATATGTAACTTGTGTGGAAATTTGTAACTTGTAAAGCTTTAATAACTACTACGGATAACGGATTATGTAAGAAGCTACATATATAGAATTTTAGTGGACTAACTCTGCTGTACGTGGTAAATTCTCATTTGGTTTTAAGTCTTCTCTTTTGTTCCTTACTTTTACTTCAAGTGTTAAATATTGCAGGGATGAATGATAGCAGGCACTTAGTGCCGATTGTAGTAGACAGAAGAATGTTATTCAATAAATCATTTGCGAGCATGTAACTAGAAGATCTCCTATCCTATCTTAAAATGTATAAAGATTATAATGCACGATATTAAATGCATGTACATACACATATGTTTAAAATTTTTATGATTCGATTAGAAATCTTGTTATGTTTGCATGCAGAATTTATTTAATTCTATAAAATTAATTACAGATATCATCGTCTTATCTCATGACGATGTAATAGGTTTAACAATATTATATGTTTGCTAATTCCAAAATGACCATGTATTCCAAGAGATGATAAAATTTACAAACTGCACTATGAGCCATTTGAGAAATTCGACTCGTGGTGCAGCCGAACTATAAAATGTATCATAGACTAACAGCTATAATGAAACTGTTTAGCCCTCGATCTTTTGTTGTTAATTTTTCGCATATCGAGCTTAACTTCGGCTTAGGTCTCGCTTTGACCACAATTAATCGTACGGCATTTCTCTTACGGATATAAAATCGGTTAAATACATTCTCGCGGTGGTGACGTATCTCTTGCACGCGTTATTTAATGCAGCTATTTACAACTCATGCTTGACGATGATGCGATTTCTTTATGACTGATATAACAGTATCTCAACGGCGTTACGTCCATTTAGCAAATCTATTGCATTGTCAAAAAACCGATGTGTATAGCGTCATTATTTTATGCGGCAGGTTTTTCGTTTTCTGTAACAGTGGTAGTCGTAGACATTGTGTCCGCCCCAGGCGCCGGTTCGGTGGTACACGCCAGAGATGGGAACCTCTGGAAGAGAGCAGCTCGGTACTTAGGATGGCTGGAATCATACAGAGAAAAGATCAGCGTTGTTAGAAGTATGCGAAACAATCATCTAATTTATCGTATTCTATCTGTAAAAATGATGGTATGATGGATTTCCAAGAATGTAATTGTCGCGACTCACCTGATGCCGTACACAATGGGATTGTATACAGCATTGGCTTTGGCAAAGAGAGAGCCCCAGATCGTGAAGAGCGGGCTGATCTTGGTCGTCTCGAAGATGCCCGCGTAATTGATGACTAGGTACGGAGTCCACGCCATGAACCACAGGGAAATGGTCATGAGAGCTACCTATAATTAGTAACGTCGTTATAGCGCGACTGCGTAAATGAGAATAGATCGATTCGAAAGAGTCTACAAGGCAAGAATCCTTGCCTTTGCCAGTTTGCATTCGGCGCTGGTGTTTTGGTTCTCGGCTGATCGCAGGGAAGCGACGTTCATCTTCTTCGCTTGCTCGCGCATGTTCTTCTCGTGAGCGGCGACTGCCTGAATGATGAAGAAGTAGCTGTAGATGATGAGGAATAGCGGCATGAAGTAGCAAAACATGCTGTAAATCACTATGTACGACCTGGAGAACATGTCCTTGTTCAAGTAATCGGTACCACAGGCAGTCATGTTGCCCTCGGGTACGTAGCTGTAAGAAGAAAATATACATTATTAATGAAAAAATACTCTTAAAAAATATTTAATATTATTTTAGATTTTTGCATCTCACCGGTTCCATCCGAACATCGGGGCGATTGTCCAAAGTAACGAAAAGAGCCAGACGCCGAATATGCGAGTGAGGGCACCGTTAATGGACATTGGCTTAGCAGACAAACCTTTGACGATTACATTGTACCTATCGAAAGCGATCATCGTCATCGTCCATATGGAGCCACATCCGAACAGGGAGCCCGCCAAGGCGTACAATTCACAGAACAAGGGTCCTAGCACCCAAGTCTCATAATAGCAGTTGATCACCTGCCCATATCGTTAATTAAACATATAGATCCTGTCGTATATCTCATTCGCGAATGTCTCAGAACGACGTACGCAGTACGCACCATAGCTGGAGACATGGCCAACATCATGAGGAAGTCGGAGGTGGCGAGATTGACGACGAGCAGGTTGCTTGGAGTGCGGAGGCTCTTGGTGGTGGTGAATATGTATATCACCATGCCGTTACCGATGACTGATATTACGCCGAGGACACCGATTACGAAGCCGAGAAGCGCATGCCACAGAGGGTTCATCGGCGGGAATTGGTACCAGTGAGCGTCGACCAAGTGGAGCATCTCCGGCGGCACCTTGTCGACCACCGTTTGATTACCAAATCCGCCTCCTTGCGCCGCCCATGTGTAGGCTGCATGGCTCGGTCCGGATGCGAGAGACATGATGATGAACTATGAGAGATCTCTTTATATTAATTAATATAGTCTTATGTGATATTATACTATTTATATAGTCACTTGACTGTCTAGCGTTTAAAAGAATTTGAAAGCGAAACCAACGATAACAAGTTATTTGCAAACACTCACGTTAGCAAATTCTCACGTTTTCTTAATTGTAGATAATCACGTCGAAGAAATAGATCCGGACAAATCAGACAAGCACGTAAATCGCGCTGCTCACCTGCGTTCGTACTACTTGGATAAAATTGTCGCGGTGAACAAACTAATCCAAGTAATCGTCGGCGTGATTTCTTGTAACGGTCTTTCCGTGAAGACGCTTGCAGGTAGAGTTCCCTGTTCGGTCCACCATCGGTTGCGGCTCGGAGTTCGCCACGACAACGTGCCGCGCTTAAATATGCATCGCGGTCCTACGTGTTTACGACTATATACAACATCTTTCTAAGTCGCCAAACAGTCTTAAGATGTTCTCTATTAGATTACGCAGGATTTGGGAATACCTTGAGAGTACCTTGAGTGTTGAACACAGAAGCCTTATAAGAATATGCAACAAGAATAGAATGTTAGACCGTGAAAAATCGACCGTTGATACAGATTAACCAAAATCGACGATTCCTGGGTAGTCTTAACAAATTTTTTAATTGTTGAAGAATCAAAACCTTCTGAAGGTCACTCAGAAGGGTGACCTTGACAACATATGTCAAGGTCAAGGTCATCGGAGGTCAGGCCCTAATTGTAAACATTTACCGAATCAAATTATTTTAATATCTCATTAATTCTAATATAAGAATAATTATTATTATAAATCTTTTTTACAATTTCAAGGGTAGATTAGATAGAAATATATGTATATAAAAAGAAATTAATATATAAAGTTTTATTACATTTAATAAATTTTTTGTAATTTATAACAAATTTATATTATTTTATAATTTAATCAACTCAATGTATAATTTATATATTATAAATTTATATTTAATTAATTAATATAAAAAAATGATGTGTATTATATATATAAATTAATGTAAAATATTCATATTAATTGCCATATAAACGTTATGTAATAGTACAACTTTAAACTCGTCGATTCTGAACAAGACGCCGCGCCGCGCGGTTAAATTCAAACGCGATCGATAATAAGATCGAAATTAACAACTTCGAGACAATCACATGTAGGCGATTCAAAATGGCTCGAGAACGTAGCGGTTGGCCACGTGCATCCCACCGTATGCCGTATACAATGGATCGGCGATAGCATCGTGATGATTTGTAACAGATATTCTCGAAGAGGATCGACACGACAGGTACGCCAAAAAGAAATAAAATGCGTTTTTCTCGCGCGTGAATATTTTTAACGGCCACCATAATCGACAGCTATGGAAGAGAGCCTCGGGGACAGCTTGCTGGACGACGGGGACGACGTCGGGGAGTTGACGGCGCAGACAGCGCTCCAGGAGATCGAGAACGCCTGGATGAACGAGAGATTCGCGCCGGAGATCCTGCCACATCAGTCTGACCTGGTGGACTGTATGCTGCAGCAGATCGCGCACATGGAGGAGAACATCAAGAGGTTAGACAAGAGTGATCTGCGAGCGTTGGTCCATCGGATGGAGCTCGATCGGATCAAATACCTGATCAGCAGCTACCTACGAATACGCCTGGAGAAGATCGAACGTTACACGATCCATATCCTGTCGGAGGAGGCAGGCAGGAGCCTGGAAGAGGCCTACCTGACGCCGGGCGAGTTACGTTTCGCCAAGGAGTACCTAGCCAATCTGGAGACGCTCTTCAAGACGGTGGCGTTGCAGCATATGCCACCGAATTTTCAGCGATTCGAGGCGAACAAGTTTACCATTAAGCCCAATCTACAGGCACACGTGTTCCTGCGTGCCAATCAGAAGGTTACAGGAATAGTCCTGCCTGGCATGCTGAACGAGGAGATAGACTTCGAGGAAGGTTCGCAGCATATTATTCAGTACAGCGCCATAGCGCACTTAGTTAAGTCTGGCGTGGTGCAGTTGATTTGATATTTTTAAAGGATACTCGCGTGAAAATACAACTATTTGTAAGAGGAAAGGGTTGTGATATATCTCTTTATGGAACAGTATAATTTTTATTTATATTTCGTGTATAAAATCTCAATCATTAATTAAAAAGGTACCTTTCATAATTTCTTTCGACATCAAGTATATGTAGTATAAAAATTGGTATTATCGTTCGAGTATCAACAAGCAACATATCACTCTCTTTCTTGTTTCCTGTACTAAAAGTTTAACATTGTATAGTATTATAATAAAAGGTGTAGATCGTAACTAGGAATCGAAGATGATAAATATACTTTCCAACAGGAATATTACTTGCAAAGTATATAAATATTTATAAAAAATAAGTACGAATTACTTGTATGATAAGTACTGAAGTCTAGTAAGTTATCGCTAAAAATATTGCTATAGAAAATAAAACGAACAAAAATTAAGTAGAAAAAAGATAAGTGTTCTCTTGTCAACACAAAGACGTTACAGCATATTTTCAGACAAGATCACGTCAGTCCACGCTGCTCATAAGCCTGCAAATGAAACGAAATTACACATAAATATCCTTTTAACTTCTCTTTGCTCCATTTGTATCGCTATATGACAATGGATTACCTCTTTGGCGCATTGTTTAAGCTGTTCGGCCATCGTTTTCCCAGTTTCTTGTACCATGCTGTTGAAGTGACCTTGCTCGTTTTGCAACAAGATGTATGGATGATCGAATTCCAACACTTGACCCTGATCAATTACCAGCACTTTATCGCTATCCATTATCGTGTTCAATCTGTGCGCTATCGTCAATACCGTGCAGTCCTCGAACTTCTTTCGGATCGTGGTTTGTATGAGCGCGTCCGTCGTAGGATCTACATTGGCGGTAGCTTCGTCGAGTACGAGTATTTTATTGTCCTGTAAGATCGCACGCGCTAGACAAATCAGCTGTCGCTGTCCGACGCTGTAGTTACTGCCGCCCTGCTCGACGCGATAGTCCAAGGAGTCGACCATTTGTTTCAACGTCACCTCTTCCAAGGCACTCCACACTTCGGCATCGTTGAACTTGTGAAAGGGATCGAGATTATCTCGAAGCGTGGCGGAGAATAACATCGGTTCTTGCGGTATTATGGATATTTTGTTTCTCAAGTCGTGAAGACCGATCTTCTTCGTGTCAACGTTATCGATGTAGATAGCGCCGTCGAGTTTCGCCATGTGAAATAAAGCGGAGATCAGGGACGACTTCCCGGCTCCGGTACGACCCACGATTCCAACCTGGAGGATTACATCGAAAGAACGATTTAGAATAAATTAGGATGTAATTGTGGTTATTCCGAATAACTTGGGATTATTTATAGGTTTTTCAATTGTACAACAAGCAACGCGATGGTAATTACTTTCATCCCAGACTCGATGATGAAACTTAGAGACTTGAGAACGGGTGGCTCAGATTCGGAGTATCGAAGATAAACACGATCGAACTTGATTTCTCCCTTAGAGGGCCAATTGCTCGACGGTTTATCCGTGGGGTTACTTTCAAACGGGCCCTCTTTCTCGAGCTCGGTAAATTGTACTATTCTCTCTACGCTCGTCATCTGCGTGACCGTCTCGGTGGCTTGACGCATTCCGTACTGCACCATATTGCATAAAATGAGCACTTGCGAAATTGCTAAACCGACATTCCCAGCGAAAATGTTTCCTGGCAAAAGCAAAGTTCTGTAGACATTCTATTATTATAAACGCACTATAATAATTGTTACAAAGAATTACCATTGTCCAATGCAACAAAACTATACGTAACGACAGAAATGAATGCGACAGACACCGCGTCCAGCGTAAAACCGAACACTGTACCAGTTGCGACAATTAAGGAGTAAGTGCTTGTGTGTAAATCTTGATGTTCGTCGAATTGTTTGCGAATCATTTCCTGGGCACCGGTAGAACGTATCGTCGTCAGACCCGACAATGTGGAATTTACATGCGAGAAGACAGGGCTTTTCGCTGAAAATTTAAGTAAACGTTGATTTGGAGCACGAAAGGTAGCTACAAATTGTCTCGCGAAGGAAATATGAATTTACCAATTCCTTCTAATCGTTTTGTGGTTTGCGCTAATGGAAGGTAAACTCTTCTTATCATGCCAAATAGAAGGAATATAACGATTACAGCGAATATGATCCACCAGTTGATGATAAGTACTTGCACTAGAATTCCAGTCATCACCGCAAACGTTTGAATGGACATTGTCATAGTACTAGGCAGTGTTTCATCCACCGCGCCAACATCCTTCGAGAAACGATTTAAAATTCGACCTAGGAAAATGTAATTTTTATCTATTTGCATCTCGTTACGGATTGCACCGGCAATCACCAAGTCAAACATACTCACCGGATGGGTTGTTATCAAAGAACGACATTGGCGCTTTAAGTACGCACGAGAACATGAAGTTATGCAAATTCTTGCCGGCGTTCATACATATTTTGAAGAAAATTAGATTTCGTATTGTTGTTACCACAACACTGATAATGATGAGGCCTCCGTAAATCCATAAAGCCGTATCCGTGTCAAGATAGTACATATCCCCATCTATAATTTTCATCTAATTTTGATTTGAAATGAAGTAGTAAAATATTTACTATTTCAATTGCGACACTAGAAATATTGTAGAAAACTAGGAAATACTAACTGTTATTAAGAGTAAAATTTTGTGACGATATAGTATCATTAGATATATCTTCCCTATAATAGTCTGTGGTTGTTAAAAATTCGGTATTATTAATCTCTGACGTATTTTCTATTTGTCTAGCAGATTTCGGCATAGAAGAAGACATTGTAAAGTTGTTCGCTGTACTATACTGTTGTTCGCGCATAGTTTTGAAACGTATCTCTTCCTGAGTCGTCCTGCAAAGTTTATTACACTTAGAAATAGATTTTCGTAGATCCTCGTATCAGTAACCGACCCAGTAAAGACGTACCAGTAACCGACCCAGTAGTCGCAACCGTTACTTCCGATTTGTCCCAAAATCGTGAAAAATAGAACACTGGCAATCATGATGGTCGAACCACCGCTGCGAAGATACTTCCAATAAAGCGATTTCGGTAAACTTCCCTTGGCTAGAAGCTCCTCAGTTTCTTGAGGCTCGGCTTCCTCTGTGTCTTCATCATTAACGTTATCGTTTTTAATTTTTATATCAGATGTAAGACCTGTATCAATTTTTAACAATTCCTTCGTCTTTTCGCTAACTTCTTCGTCTTTTTTTAATATTTCCAAAAAGGTCACACGTTTTTCTTGAAGGGCCGTAAATGTGCCTTCATCTTCAATTTGACCCTTTTCGGAAAAATCCACGTAATTAGAGATTTTATATATTTATAATAATATATAAATGTATTCATAGATTATACAATCACACACACATATGATTATACTTATGTACATATCTAATGTAATAATTTACGTACATTATTAAAAATAATGATATAGTCGCACTGTTTCAAGTACTGCAATTGATGAGTTACAAGAATTCTTGTTTTGTTTTGCAAGTAATTATTCATGCACTCGTTAAATAAATGCCTGCCAACGTGAGTGTCAACTGCTGATAGGGAATCGTCGAAAAGATAAATATCGACGTCTCTATAGACAGCTCTGTAAACAGCAAATTATATTAGAATATAGAACACTTATATATTAGAATATAGAACATTTCACAAGTAGATGCAATTTACCTCGCCAAATTAATTCTTGCACGCTGTCCACCACTGAGCGCCGTACCTCTATCACCGACTAAAGTCTTATCGCCGTACGGAAGTTGTTCGAAATCTCTCGTAAGAGCGCATACGTTTACAACATTCTGATATCTATCTTTATCATAAGGCTGGCCGAATAGAATGTTACTTTGCACTGTGCCTGCAAACAGCCAAGATTCTTGACTGGCATACGATATTTTACCATCTATGTGTATTTGGCCTTGTGTCAATTTCAGTTCGCCTAAAATCGCTTGCAGGAAAGAACTCTGAAAGTTTAAAATAAAGAGATTTTAAAAGGGGAATATTAAATATTCTCTTAGTATAAAATATTACACGCAAAACATTCAATACGGTTGTAGAAAGTACCTTTCCTGCGCCTACAGGACCAACGATAGCGTAAAGTTTGCTGTCTTTAATTTGAATGTTGATATTATGTAATGTGTTTACAATTGCAGTAGTTGTCCATGAAGCGCTAACGTTTTTCATTAAAATACTTGTTTCTTTGGCAGTTAACGCAGGCTGTGTCAGTGGAACATTCTCGTTCAATAACAGAAAGTCCTATTAATAACATACAAGCTAATTATTGACTGTCTATTATATTCATGATAAATGTTTTACGCGACTTTTATCTACTAATATAAGTACCTCAGTAGACGATATCTCAATAGACGATATCTTCTCAGTACACAATATCTCATAGTCAGTTGACATAATAATTACATAACGCATGCAATCAATGTATCTTTTTAACTTTAGAGTCGGTTTTTTGTTAGCTTGGGGTAAAGTTATGATAAAGTTAATTTTACCTCGATTCTCTTTATGGAGACCGATGACTCGGCAGCAGCCGCTATAGCCATAGGAAACCATATTGCCATGGTGAGTTGAAGAATATTGAAATACCGTGCCACTGAAAATACTTTATCGGCGGATATAGAATATCCGTAGAGTACATAGGCCATAATTGTAAAATATAACGTTGTTCTTTCCGTGAACACATATGTGGCGAAGGTAAAGCCTCTTAGATACGATATTAGTGTGAGAACATCGATTTCGTATCTAGATAAAATAATGCGCTTATCATATTAAATTTCTTTGCGATAATAATGAGACTGATAAAGTTGAAATACAAACTTTCTTGCGCGATTAACTAGGCCCTCAAATGGTTTCTCCCAAGTATACATTTTAATAACTTGTATGCCCCTGATTATTTCGGACATCAAACGTACTCTCTCATCCGTTCTTACTGCGATTTTTAAACGCAACTTCGAGGTCCATTTACTTATGTATCCTGGTTAAGTACGTAAAATTAGTAACTTAATCGTTAGACATTTTACACGTTTGCGACAATTGCGACAATTGTGTGTGTTACCTTGAAGAGGAATAGTTTGAACTATTAAGAGAATTACACCGGCTAGCGAAGCGACGCCGACGCTCTGCCATATCAGAAACGCAATGATGACTACTTGTATAGGCAAGATCCAAATGTAATGTAACGTCATAAACAGCCATTCAAATTTTGACATGTCATTTGACAACAGATTAA